CATCCATGAAGTAGTCTCCCTAACAAGACATGAGTCCATCTGACCCCCTAAAAAATATTTACAACATTATTGATTATATTCCCCAAACTGTCTCTCATATCCCTGTGGCAATATTGTAGTTACCAATTTACGCTGTCTAATTCCCTCCCCTTCTCCCTCATCCCCACCCCCTCCCATCTAGCAACCATCAGTTTTTCCTCTATATCTCTGAGACTATTTCTGTTTACTTTGCTTATTTATTCAGTTCCTTAGAATCCACATATAAGTGAGATACTGTGGTATTTGTCTTTCTCTGACTGACTTATTTCACTTAGCATAATGTTCTCTAGGTCCACCCATATCGTTGCAAATGGTATGATTTCCTTCTTCTTTATAGCTGAGTAATACTCCATTGTATAAATGTACCACAGTTTCTTAATCCAGTCGTCTATCAGTGTGTGTGTGTGTGGGGGGGGTTAGTTTGTACAGTTTTAAAATTTTTCAATTGTGGTAAAATACACATAAAATAGATCATCTTAACCATTTTTAAGGTTACAGTTCAACAGTGTTAAGTACATTCTCATTGCTATGCAGCCAGTCTCCAGAACTCTTCATCTTGCAAAACTGAAACTATACCCATTAAACAACAACCCCCAATTCTCCCCTGCGCCTGGCAGCCACCATTCTACTTTCTGTCTCTGTGAACTTGACCACACTGGGTATGTCAAATAAGTGGAATCATACAGTGTTTGTCTTTTTGTGACTTATTTCACTTAGCATAATGTCTTCAGCACCCATCCGTGTGTCAGAATTTCTTTTCTTTCAGGATGATTATATTCCATTGTATGGAATACTATTTATCCGTTCCCCATCAGTGGACGCTTGGGTTACTCCCGCCTTTTGGCTTTTGTAAATAATGCTGCTATGAAACATGGGTATACAAAATATCTTTTCATGGGCTGGCCGAGTGGCTCAGTTGGTTAAGAGTTCGCTCAAGAGATTGAGCTCTGAGCAGCAGGGTCCCCGGTTTGATTCACGGCCCAAGCTGAGCTGCCGCTGAGCTGCCAACAGGTGGCAGGATGGCTCAGCTAAAAAAAAAAAAAAGTCTTTTCAAAACTCTGATTTCTAAAATTTGTGTCCTTTAAAATTGAGTTAAGGAATGATCCTAGAAGAATTCCATATTCCATGGTTTTGTATTTTTTACCATTTGGGAAAAAAAAACAGGAATCCAGCACTAACTTCACCAGGTAATATCGTTACTACTTCTTAGTGTGCTGACTTTTCAAGGGCTTCTTCTTGAGCTATTCTTCAGCAATATGTGAGTGCTCTGAAAATTGCCATTAAAGAGAAAGTAGCAACAGTTCAGCGATGTCTCAGTGACTGGGACACTCTGATCAAGGGCAGAATGGTCAGTGACTTGGTGTATTGCTAAAGTCCACTGTTCCAGTCCACTCCCCACCATGGTACTTGAAGCCCCACACCACCCTTCCCCAGACCAGGAAAGCCCATAGTCGGACAGTGAAGTTGGTGAAGCTCTGAGAGAATCTGCCCCACCGCGGCGTGCCCTTTTCACTGGCAGAGACCTATAAATAACATCTGTGATCCTGTTTCAAAGTCAGAAAGGAAGCGGGCGGAGGAGTTGCTGAAATAATGTCGTGAAGGAATGGATCAAAGAAATGATATGTGAATCTGTCTTAGAGACGGGAGAGCCACCCAGCCATGTGGTCAAATAAGATCCCTGCCCTGCCAAAACCAGCCTCTCTTTCATGCCTGACATCGTCTGCAGGCATGGATAAGCTATATTCTAGATCATTTGGCATTCAAATAGGCTACGTTGGCTTGGAGATGATTGGGGGGCTGAAGTGTTAGCATTATGCCCTCCTGCAAGGAGGAAGGGAAATTTAGTTCAGGAACCAAAGCAAAGCTTGTTCATCTTATCTCATCTTTTAAAACCCGAGACAGAGTCCTTTACAGTCCCCAGACATAGGGTCCTCCAGCATTGAATGCACAAATCAACGCCATATCCAGTACAGAAGAAATAGCAGGAAGTGGGGCTAAGGTTACAGATTCTGAAGAGCAAACATACACCTTTGCGCTCTGTCTTCTTAAAATTCATCCTCTCACCTGCCAGCCTTGAGAATTGCCTATTTACATAACTAGCTGCCTAAAATGGAATATTAGATAATGTTACATGGCGGCTCACTCAATTTGAGCCCATCCCCAGGATATGAGAGTGATCCAGGAGTCCTCCAGCAGCGTGCAGCGTACCACGTTGGCCTGCAGCCATGCCTCCGTGTGGCATGAGCCTGTCAGCACTCCTGAGCTAAGCAGATGTCAGGCCCAATCCCCGGGTGGGAGACCAGCCGAGCAGCGGGGGGAGGGGGCGTGATTCAGCAAGTGGCACAGTGGCACACCCTCTTCAGGGGACAAACAGCATCTCTTTCTGAGCTTCACAGCAGGCACCTTGTTCTTCCCAAGGTGCTGTCCTGGAGACAGCTGATGTATCGGGACTGAGAAGGGAGAGCTGCAGGATCTATGGGGCCGAGTACAGGAGGTAATCAGTCAGCTCTGATGCCATCCCTGGCACCGTGCCAGCCTCACACCCCCTGTTGGTCCTTTCTGAGGCATGAATCTCCCTCCCATCAAAACTGGAATCATGCTGTTTGCTTCTAGGAGGAGTATAAATAAGTGATAAGGAAGTGTTCTGATAATGATAAGCGGGTATAGCTTCTCAGTGGACCAGATGTATCAAAAAAAGCAATTGTGTGTGTTTGTTCATTTGTTTTTCAGCGTTCCAGTTCCTGTAGTCAGTTTAGAGAAAATCCCTAACCTAGTGAAGGCAGATGGTGCCAATGTCAAAATGAACTCTACAACCACTGCTGCGGTCACCGCCTGCTCCACCTTGTCTTCGGCTGTCTCCACCCCACCCTTAATTAAGCCGGTCTTGATGTCAAAGTCAGTGCCACCTTCCCCAGAGAAGATCTTAAATGGCAAAGGAATTTTGTCCACCACAATAGACAAGAAACACCAAAATGGCACCAAAAACAACAACAAGCCTTACAGGAGACTTTCAGGTACGTGTCTGTGTCCTTCGAGTGTGGCTCATGATTAGACTGAAATTGAGTCACATCCATTACCAAGGAGTGATGTGTTCTTATAATTAAGCAGGTCTGTTTCATTTTAAGGTGGACATGGAGTTTACCTACAAGCAGGACCCCCACCTAAACATGTAAGCAAGAGCTTGTTCTCTTATACCCTGGCCATATGAGGCTCTCTCTCGGCTTAGAACTTAGCACGAGTTACCCTAGTGACCCAGGCGGCAGAGAGGATGCTCTGCACCAACCATGACAGTCCATGGATGCTGCGGGCCTTGTTACCATGCTGACAGGCCGAACTGCCCCTTGGTTTTGCAGAGGCTGAACTGCTATGAACTTGGACAACCCACAGTGACATCCCACAGTAGCTCAAGGCAAGCTTGGGACAGTCCCATCAGTGACTGCCCCGCAGAAAGACACAACCTCTCTCCTTTGGCCTACTTGGTCTCCAGGTTGATTCTGTGGCCTGGGGCTATAACTGCCTTTCCCACATAACCAGTTGGAATTTGTTTGGGAACACTCGCGCTAGCACAGCAGAGGAGGTGTCGGGGGTGTCTCTTGGGTGTACTCCTTGGCTGTCTAAGCAGGCACTTGGAGTGCCTGGAAAGGTACAGGTGGCCAGGCTTTGAAGCAATGGCTGCCCTGTAGGGGGACCCTCATGTGGATGGTGTTTGCTTTGGATTTGTTATAAAACTAAATCTAGCAATTCTGCTTTTGCCAAAAGACCAAAATAAGCTTCATGACTTATTCATACACAGTGGGCATTTATCTACTCTCTAATGTTGACCAGAAAAAAAGAAAATATTGTCAAAGCCACCATGTGAGAAAGAAACTATAACTTCTGTTATGAGCATACTTTTTAAGCACCCCAAAAATTGTGGGTCGTTTTTATTTTCTACTTCATGTTTATCTTTATTTCAATTTTTCTGTCTTACCTCTGTAACTTTTTAAAAAATCATTCTTAAAAGCACCTCAGTCCCAAAGCACTGAAATGACGTAGTTATTCTACCTTGAAAATCTCTCCATGTGCTGTTCACTCACTATCAAGAGAGAAAGGTAGAGCCTGCTGCTCTCCTTGGCCGTGTGGAGCTTCACTGAGTGGACGGGAGCCCCCAAATCCTGGCTCTTCTCCTGAATGGGAAGTTCAGTTTCACGCTGGGTGGCAGCGTCCCTGAAAAAACCAATCTGCCTGGCTGGGCACAGTGTCCAGAAGCCATGATTCCTCGTCATGGCAGAAGCATGACCGGGGCTTCCAGACTGCTCCCCAACTGAAGTTGTTTGGGGATTTTTTTGCTATTTGTTGGTTTTGCATTGTGTTGATTGTTTTGTCTTGTTGTTGGGTCTTTTGCTTGTTTTTTCTCGTGCCAGCCAGCTCCTCCCCCTCGCCAAACAACCCGCTCCGTTCCAAGCCAGCATGAGTGCTGGAGTGGATATGGGCATGGGTCTGACAATGACAGGCCCAAGGGGAGAGCAGCCTCGGCCTGGCACCAAGGCACTCAGTGGGCAGAGAAGGCTCATAGGAAACAGGCATCTCTAGGTCTAGCCATTTTCTGTTCTTAAAAGTGAAGCTTTAAAAACGAGGAAGAAGAAGACAAAGGGGGGAAAAGAGGCAGGAGGCGTTTTGATAGCCAACCAGGGAATCTGTCTTGGATGTAAGAATGGTTTTGTTGCACACATTATCATTACTACCATTGTAAGCACCCCATGACCCCCAAACCTTCTTTTTAAAATAGAACACATTTATTTATGACACTCAGTGTTTACTCCACCAATTTCAGACAGTTCTTTTCAGGCTAGGTAACCTCTTTTTAGTTTGCAGCTATTCAGAGTTCTAAAGGACACCACCAAATTTATACACACCTCTCACCTCCCCACCAACATTCTCCCCGAACGCCCAGAAGAACTGTGTCATTCCTGCTCTGTGAGACACAGGTGGTAGCTGGGTGCCTTCCAGAAACAGCACAGGCCACCTGAGAGGTGGAACTTGAAAGCCTAAAGGGTCTTGAAGAGATTGCCTCACGTCCCCTCATTTTCCTGGGAAGGAGAGAATTTTTGTAATCCAGAGGGGACGAAGGATCTAAAATGGGCCTAAAATGAGCAAGTTCCTTAGAAATAGACTCAACATGACACACCAGTAGCCCAGCGGGAAGGCGGACGCTGGAGAAAGCCTGGCCTCCCTGCAGCCGTCCCAAGGGCCTGGCTTGGCCTGGCTCATTCCCATTGGAGCAGCAGGCCCCAAGGTGCTGGGGGCAGAGCAAGCGAGGCTGTGAGCCCAGCAGGCTCTGCCCTCTGTGCACCTTCAGGTTCAGACCCACATGAGGCGCACACCCAGACCTTGCCCCTGCCCCTGCCTATGGCGCTGCCAAAATGTTCATGAATCAGGTAAACAATTTTCCTGCTCGACAAGGCTTTCTGGAAAGCCTTGCGCTGAGCACTGTGCAAAGCAGGAGAGAGGCTGGTCACAGTGACTTGTCACTTAAATGGCTAAAACTAGCAGGAAGGCAGGGTGGGGGTGGGGAGTGGGGTGTACTCTTAGAACCGCCCAGAGAAAAGTGGCCCGCGGACCTCAGGTGGCTCTCCCTGGTCCGCAGCCAGCTATGCCCAAAGGGCCAAGTACCTAGAGAACCATTTCAAGTGAAATGAAGTGTGTGAGCAGCATGGCGCCTTCCCCCCAGTGCCCGCCCCACCCCATTCCCTGCGCCTCATGCTGCATTCCGCATCCTACCGAAGCTGGACTTGGGGACTCTGGGTTCAGAGGGGTGCACCGTTTTCCCCTGAGCGGTTCTTGAAGCATTTTAGCAGTTGGTTGGGGGAGGGGGGAAACCAGATTGCCTAACAATGTCTCACTTGTTGGTGCAAATGTGCATTTTTTTTAATGTAGTCTTAATGCCAAATCCTATTTAGTCTCTTTTTTTCTTATATTTTTTGTTTGTTTCTTAAACCAGAGAGAGAATTTGACCCAAATAAACACTGTGGAGTATTGGATCCCGAGACAAAGAAACCTTGCACAAGATCCCTCACCTGCAAGGTATTTCTCTTTCCATAAAAAATACTTCCTGCTCTCGCTGGGGCCTTTGTCGAAATGTTTGCATGCCACTCTCTGCACACTGCAGGGTGTGGAGCCTCGACATGACCCCCAGCTGTTCTTTGTAAGGGAAATGCTTTCTTCTCTTCCATGGTAGCAGAGTGCCTGCCTCAAGCTGGCTGGCTTTTTAAGAAGGGAAAAAAAAAAAAAGGCTTCCCCTGTTACTTGTGAGGCCAGACAGTAAATTGTATTTATAGGCACTCACAGGCGGTTCTAAACCCTGCTACGTTTTAATGTATGCAGGAGCGGCGGCGGCGGCGGCGGCGGCAGCGCCCTGAAAGGCGGCCGCGGACCGGAGGACACTCTGCCGCGCCCCTGATCTGGCCACGCCGGGTTGGCCAAGGGGACAGCTGAACCAAGGCGGCCGCCATTGGGTAGCCCCCCGCCGCATATTTCTTGCTGAACTGCTAGTGCTTCTTGGGTTGGATGCTGTGGCCCTCTCTGCTTGGTGGCTCTGTGTGTCTGGGCCACAGCCGAACTCCCACCTGCACGTGGATTAACCCTAGCACTCCCTCACGCTGGCCTTTCATCAGAGAGGTGTTCCTGGGCTCCGCACGGAAGGTCGTCATCGTATGCCATTTTTTGGAGGCAGCGTTGGCTTCTTAACACCAGGAGAGTAGGGCATGGTTGCGTTTGTGTGGTCTCTGCCTCTTCCCAGCCACAGAACGGGAGCTGTTGCCTTGAAGTTGACTTTTCAAGCACCTCTGAATGCCCATGAATTGTTGTTTCTAAACGAAGGGCCTGGGGCAGCAGGTTTATGTGCTGATGAAAGAGGCTGTGCTTTTCATCTCTCTTCTCCTTAGACACATTCACTAAGCCATCGGAGGGCCGTCCCGGGCCGGAAAAAGCAGTTTGACCTCCTTCTGGCAGAACACAAAGCCAAGTCTCGGGAAAAAGAAGTTAAAGAGCATCTCCTGCCTCCTGCAAGGGAAGTGCTTCCAAACCAACCCGGGCCGGCGCAGGACCTTCTGCCAGGATCTTCAGGGAGCTCTGCGCCGGAACCTAAAGTCGCATCCCCTGCAAAATCCAGGCCACCTAACTCAGTGCTTCCTAGGTAAGTCCCACTGTGCTGCTGGAAGCCCGAGTCCTGGGGCAGGTGACTCTGCCCTGCTGGGTCTAGCATGGTCTGATCACATGGAAAGTGGAAGTGGTGATAGTCCTGCCTCGTAAGGCAGTTTTGCAGCCTAAATGGGATAATGGGCAGAAGGGGCTCAGCCCAGGGCCTGCTGTGTAGTGTTCAGTGGATTTTACTGCTGTCCTCACTGTCACCATCACTGTTGTCATCATCATCATCATCATCCTTCATAGCAGACCCATATCAGAACAAGTGTAAGGTGGGAAAAAGGACCTGGAAGGATGACACATCAGCCACCAGACAACTTCCTGGCTGCCTGGTTTTTAGATTAGTTGAAGATTCCTGGAGGAGAGAGTGCGTAAAACCTGAGTGGATGGGTAGTCAGCACACTTGGGAACCCATTTGACACACCATTTTGTAAATTTTTCCCACAACTCTGATGACCCAGGTGAAGCGGAAATGGGCATAACCAAGGTTGTTTTGTCCATATATTTCCCTGCATACCCAGCAAGCCGAGACCACCTGTCTGGGATTTTATTTGGTTGTCCTGGACAGAAAGGAAAGAACAGAAAAGAGAATTAAACCCTATTTGGATTAAGAGCAATTTTGAATCCACACATGTCTGTTTTGATGGACAGTAAATTGCCATATTGAGCAGCAGACCAATTTCCAGGTAATAGGACAGGGAACCCTTCATTCAAAAATATTTATTGAGTTAGGTATTCTCGGGCAGGGGTACAGAGATGAATGAAACTAGATCCTGCTTTTCAAGAATTTATTTAGAGTTTAGAAGATAAGAGTCGAATATCCGTAACATCGTAAAAAAGGAAACATACAATATGAGAAGTACAGCTCATGGTATTATCTGATGATTTTTAATGCAGACAGTGTGAATCTCAAAGGGTCCAGTCAGCAAGTAGGCATCAAGAGAACATATTGGGTTGTCGGAAAAGTCATGACATTTTTTCTATGTCTTTTGTTGCAAAAGCGTGTCATGACTTTTCCAACAACCCAATAGTAATAAAAGATGGGGAAGGGGTTGATTTTTAAAGCAAAAGCAAATATTTGATGGCAGTTATTCCTGACCTACCAGGTTTTCACCCTCATACCCTTCTACTTTGGTACAAGACTGACCTAGTTCGACAGCCAGAGTCCCTCTGGGAATAGCCAGCCTTAGCCTCAGGCATTCGGGAGGACACAGTCAGGTGGAATCACAGCCCACACACATTTCCATCATCAAAACCATTGTCGTATTGTCATCATCCTTTTACATGCCACTTTCCTTGCTGCCCCTCATTTTGCAAGATCATTTTATAATTCCTTCGCAGTGTAATACCAGATGTTGGTGAAAAATGTTACCCTTGCTTTAGAGTGGGGAGATAGTTCTGCTCCAAGCTTCTGGGAAGGGCTTCAATTCTGTATACAGTGGCTTTCAGACTTCTTTGTGGTTGTAGACCTTTTCACCCCCCTAACCCTTACATGGTATCCAATATAAAGCAGACTGGCCTCCACCTGAAGCCAGCTCAGCTCTGTTCTCGTCACATATGTACCTAGAGCCCGCTGTCCTCAGGGTCCTCCCAGGAGCACCTTGTGTTTCCCAAGGACTTCAGGGAACCCAGTTTGAAACCCTCTTTTGTTATACATTTCTCTATTGAGTTTGACTGATGAAGGCACTTCTCATCCAAGCTGTGGTACCTGACTGAACGGAGAAGCCAGGGGACAGTCGTCAAAAAATAAAACACGCAACGGAGCCTTCATACCATCTTCTTTCTGTTCTTTGTTGGTTTCATTTTCAGGGGAATGTCTGTGGGTAGAGAAAGGCCAGGTGTTCTGTTCTCTTACAGAAGCAGAAGGAAGAGAGTGAGGTTAATCAGCAAAAGGGATATCTCAGATAAGAAGGGAGAGGCAGAGGAGGACATTGCAAGTGTTGGTAACAATAATTTTTAAGGCTGCTTTTCAAAGTTGATATAGGCCCCAGAAGGGTGGACTCTGGTCCAATGGCAGTGGGGAATAACGTCCTCTTTCACTTGTTTTTGATTAGGATGAGACCCCATCCTAATATTTCAATTTTTCAATCAGAGATTGAAACAGCATGATCAGAGTTTCATATTGTAATCACATAAATCTTAAAATTTTATTTCACTCATATTAATGATTATATAATAGATAGTTCAATAACACTAATTACCTATAATTGGCAAAAAAAAAAAAGTTATCACACATAAATAGAATTATCGTAATCCCTTCCCAATCGTGAATTCCTTTTGTCAAAAATGTTAACATGCATGAATTTATTTCTTACATATTGTTTTGGTAACCTTGAAAATATTTTAGCTTCCATATTCTTGAGTTGCAATCCCTTCTTTTCAGGAGTTCCTAAAAGGGAACTTGGGGCAAGAATTGGAAAATGTAATGTTAGATAACATGGGTCAGCATAGGATTGGAAGTGCATATCTCAACTCCATGCTTACTAACTAGATGAACATTGTCATGTTTCTTAGTCTCTCTAGCCTCGACTTGCTCATCTGTAAAATGGAGCTAAAAAAAATTACGTGAGATAAAGTGTCAAGCTCATACTAAGCACTGAATTACTGGTAGCCGTTAGTAAGTGGTAGTGGTATTCAATGGGATAGCAATGTGAGCAAATGCAGTCCTTGGCGGTATCTGGTTTCCATCTGCCCATCCTCTTGGCCTCTGTCTCCCAACCTGGGGGCCCTTAAATAACATCCTATATGCTCTGTTTTGTTGCCCCCAACTCTAAGAGAACACATTATTTGCCCCAAAGAGCCCAAGAGCTATGGACAACCAGCTCAGCTATACCCATCAGGACTCTGTTGGAAAGGAAAAGGAGAGCAGAAAGAAGGTTGAGCGGGGCTCTGACAAGCCAGGCTCTGGCCCCTGGGATGGAGGGGGAAAGGCCGACTGTGGAAGCCAGTGCGGACAAAATCTGGACACATTCCCATCTGTCTTGAGGATGCTCACACATCTAATCTTAAAGTATAAAATGGCAAAATCCATTGAATCTTAGACTGACAAGGGCAGCGGGGAGTGAGGCAGAAGGTCCTAGATACCTGAAAAGGGGCAGAGATGACTCTGGAGTGAAAGCGACTCAGTTAGGACTAATTAAGGTAGTGTTATTGCCAAACTGTAAGGCATTTCTTTCGTTCACTTATGTTTTTCGCTGTGCTTTTTCTATATTTATTTCTGAATATCAGGGGCTTTGAAGTCACGCAGAGTCAAGTCTCATTTCCACCTTTAGCTTTGCAGTCAGTTTCCTCATCTGAGAAATGTAGACACTAGTTAAATGCACTTAAGGCAGTGGGTAACTTGGGTGAGAAAGTGTACGCCATGCCTAGCACATAGTAGGGACTCAGTTAAGGTCAGTGCCTTGCATTCTCTTCCCCAAAGCACTCCGACAGTCTGGTGCTCATGCCTCCTTGAAGCGGTAGGGGTGGGGACTTTCTCTAAGCTTCCCTGAGTGGAACTGAACAGGAGCCATCATCACATCCATTGTCTTTAGATCAAAATGGTACGTGGCGAGGGAAGGATGCTGTAGAGTTGAGGGAGAAAGGGAGGATGGCAGCTTAAACTTGAGTGACCGTTTCAACACTTTCTCATGACTAGTGGCCCTGTTCCCCATCACTCCTTACCAAGCCTTGTTTTTTCTGAGACACCCTGGAGTGCAGCAATCAGAGCTGGAAGGTCTTGAAACCATCACCACCAGGAGGATGCATATATCCTGAGGGACACAAGCCTAAAAAGGAAAAGGTTCAGAGCTCCTTCTCGGCGTGCCTGTGTACACATCTGCACACCATCATTCATTCACATTCCTGACTTTACTCTCAGATCCAGTTCTACTGTAGAGCACACAGTTTCCATGCTTATCTTTATTCTCCAGACTTCTCCTCTGCTCATCGCCTCTCTTTTATTTGGTAACTGGAACTTACTATTGAGTGTTTCAACCATTTTTTTTCTTAATTAAACTTCATTTTCTAACCAAAGTACTATAGGCACATAGTTCAAAAATCAAACAGTACCAAAGACTTAGAATGAAACCCAGTAGTTCCTGCTCCCCTGGAACTCTCTTTACCTTCTCTGTCTTATAGCACCTGTTTCCTGGATCCCATGGCTTTACTCTCTCTTGGTTTGCTCCTTTATTTTGATGGAATATCTCCTCCACTAGCTTCCTGTGAAAAAGTGCATGGGAGGTCAATTTTTAGAATCCTTACACACTTGAAAATATTTTTATTCTACTCTCACACTTAATTGATCATTTCTCTGGGTATATAACTGAGTTGAAAAGCATTTCTCTGCAGAATTTGGAGACATTTTTCCATTGGCTTCTAGTATCAAAGGTTTTTATTGATAAGTTTAATTTCATACTGATTCTCATTTCTTTGCAATGACCAGTTTTTATCTCTGAAGCCCGGGGCTCTGAAATTTTGCAGGGATTACTCTTGATGTAAGTCTTTTTTCACTTAACTGTAGTAGACACGCAGTAGATCCTTTGAATCTGGAAACACCTGTTTCTGGGATATTTTCCTATGTTACATCTTGGATAATTTTCTCCCTACTATTGTCTTTCTTCTTGTTCTTGACTTAGTTGGATGTTAGACCTTTATCTATGATCTTTTCAGTCTCTTACGTTCTTTCTCCTATTGTCTCTCTTAATCTCTTATTCCACTTTATGAAAGATTTTATTTTCAAAAAGATACTTTTACCTTCAAAACTGTATATTCAATAATCAATTTATGACTCACTTTTAATTTTTAGAGTCTGGTTCTTTTTATCCAATTGCTTCTTATAATATCCTATAAAATACTATCATTTTGGAGAGATAATACCATTCTAATGTCTTTGAAGATAGATAGGTGGGTTTTTTAATAGTTTTTCTATTTTCTTCGTTATCTTCATTTTCTCCAGGGTGATTTTTTTTTTTTTTGGTTTTTGTGGGGGTTTTTTCTGGTGTATGTGTTTGA